AACCCATTACCCCTTGTCCTGTCACTACACTCCCTGATAAACAGTCCCTCACCATCTTTCCTGTAGGTCCCCTTCAGGTACTGGTAAGCCGCAATTAGATCTTCCCGGAGCCTTCTCTTCTTCAGGCTGAACAACCCCAACTCTCTCAGCCTGTCCTCATAGGAGAGGTGCTCCAGCCCTCTGATAAACTTTGTGGCTCTCCTCTGGACTCTGTCCAGCAGGTCCATGTCTGTCCTTGTACAACAAGACATTTGAACACTCCAGTGTAACTTCTAATTCTAGAGATGCTCTTGGTTGTTTAAATCAAACTTGAATGCTTAACTTCAAACACTTAAGTGCCCTGACTCTATTCAGATGCCAGGTGACAGCTGCTTTCATTTAAATAAGTAAAATCAAAGTGACAAATGTCTTGTCACTCATCTAGAGATGTATTCTGTCCTGAAATGCTCCTTGTTTGAGTAGGGCAAGGAAGGAGATTAGTTTGCCAAGAGAGTACCAGACTGGTACTAAAGTGCATAATAAAACTGTATTTTCCTTCTGTTAGTGTCTCAGTTGGTCACCATAAGTAAAGACCCCTATGAAGCCTGTGATGGAGCTCATGCCCTTGTGATTTGCACTGAATGGGACATGTTTAAGGTAAAAATGTGATCTTCAAACTAAACTTAAAGAAAAGGAGTGTTATGCTGTTTATCTATTCCGTCTGCTTTAATTAACCCATTACAGGAGCTGGATTATGAACGTATTCATAAGAAGATGCTGAAGCCTGCATTTATCTTTGATGGTAGGAGAGTTCTAGATGATCTTCACAATGAGCTACAAGTCATTGGCTTCCAGGTAATCACCGGGGTGATGTTGATTCTTATGTTTCTTTCCTTTTGCTCTCTGTTCTCTCTTGCTTTTGCTCTGCAATGACTCTGTAGCAAGGGGAAAAAAATCTCTTCAGGTGAGGATTTAAATCTAAACCCATCTGTACTTCAGTCTTGTCACTAGTGCTCTCTTCCTCCAGTACCTTCCTGCTTTTGTAGACTGATACTCTGTTAAAATCCGAGCTACGTCAGCCTATGCCGTCAACATTCAGCAGTGTAAATGTGCCTTGAAGCGCTTCTTGCATAGGCAGAATTTGACTAATACTAAAATCACCTGAATAATCTGATAGAAGCATTTCAGCCAGGCACAACCAGTACAAAATCTACAAGCCAGATCAGATGTGTGTTTTGGTTGTGTTTCATTCTGTGTACTCCTGAGTACTGTGATTACTTGTATAATGGCCATGGCTCTCCTGCCATTTTCCCCTGCTTAAACTACACATGATTATTACACTGAACAGGCTTGTAGAAATTGCTTTAACTAGTCCATTGAAGCTGTTATGGGCAAATATAGTACATATAGCTGACATAACTACTTGGTTACATCAACACACTGAAAAGAGTTGTACATCTGAACTGTTTAAATGTCTAGAACATAATCATTAAACTTCTGTTTAAATTTACTACTTAAGATAGTTTAAATTGACACATTGTCTTTTGGTGCTTTGCATCTTCCCTGTACTACTTGAGGGAAAGCTACAGCTCTCCTTGCTGAGCATCTGAACTATTTTACTATTTGGTGTTTCGTCCTCTACAAGTTCTGACCTAAAAATCAGGGGAACCCGTGTCACTCTTCAAATTTTGCAGTACCTGGTTTACACGTGTCAGCTGTGTTACATACTTTCTCTTCTATAGAGTTGGCTGCCTTTGGCCTTTCAGAGGCTGTTTCAAATACATCCCATTGCATTAAGGAGGGGGGGAAAAAGCTGCTTCTATCCTAACTTAGCCAATATAAATTTAGACAAAGGAGGCCAAACCCCTGCTTTATAAATACCTGAAAACATTTTATGATATTTGTACTGATAGTCCTACAGAAGCTGAGGCACATAAATGTTCAAATTAGCAAGATGCAGCTTTGAATAGGCAAAGCAGGCACCTGTGAAAAGCTGTTTTTTAGAAACCTGTTTGCAACTCCAATCCCAGAAACTGTCCCTGGGCACACTGTTTTCTGGCTTGTGTTATTCTAGCATTCATGAAATGTAGTCGTGGTCCTGGATTTAGTTTGTAGATTCCTTATAGGCTGATGCGATTCTGTTACCCTGCCACACTCACTTCCTAAATGTGTTTTCTCTTTCAGATTGAAACAATTGGGAAGAAGGTGTCAGCCAAAAGAATTCCTTTTGCTTCTTCATGTGAAATTCCTAAGTTCAGCCTCCAGGACCCACCTGTCAAAAAGCCTAGAGTATAATGTTTAATAGGTACTGAAGGAATTCTGTGGACCTTCTTAGTGATAATAACTGTAAGCCTATGCTTTTTTAAGGAAAGATATTTTTCATAAACTAAAAACCAGTTTTACACTAGAAATGGTACCTGGTACATGTGAATTCAGTCTATTTTCAAATCTCTATTTTTATAGCAATTTTTTTGGTTACTGAAGATGGTACCGATCTGTTTTTAATAATGAATCATCTCTTAAGTGGAAAAGTTATCTTCAAACTGCAGACTCCTGCTTCCAGAAATGTTCCTAAACTGCACTTTAAACATCTCAAGTGATACAAAAGCAAAAGAAATAAAACATCTTTTCACTGTCCATAACTGGACTAAAGTAATCAGGAATTTTGGTCCCACTGATTCTTCATTTTTCTTTTGGGGTAATTCTTTGCCCAGTTAAATGCTTGCTCTGACTGACATTGAAGTCGGAAGTTCTAAGTGAATTTGGTAGGATTTGGTTGAGCCCTAAACCAGAGGTAACTGCACCAGTAATACCCTGATTCCAGTTGGGCTCAGTGGGCACTGATGCAGTCTAAACGGCATCTCTTGGGAGGCCAGATGGTTCTGCAGGCATCTATCACGTAACTAAAGACAGTGGACTAGCAGCTCTAAACTGATCCACTGGCAGATCTTCACTTTTGTTTCTCTGGCTGTCTTGCCTACATTCCATGTGCACCCATCTAAATTATTGATCTAATCAGATTCCTGGGGCAAGTTTTTCCTAAGTAACAGGAATACAATTCATCTTCAGCAGAGGAGTGTTCTGCTTATTTGAATATTGAATTGAAGCAGAATTACTGTAATTTGGTGTGTGACCAAGTAGAAGGCAAACATTGGCCTCAAAGCTACCTGATGGTTATCTTTTTCCTTCCTTTCTGCTTGCATACTTCATCTGAAAGCAGCTTTCTTAACAAATCTGCAAAAATTATTCTCTGCTGTTAAGAAATTATTAAACATAAAAACTCAGCCCCATAAGTTAGTCAGCTTGCTACCTCACTTAATTAGCGGGAATGAATACTTTCTATGTTATCTTGTTATTTTTGCCTTCACTATTACTTTATTTCTACTTGTTTTTATTATTCTCAATTGGCCAGTGCTATTAAAATCCTTGATATGACAAAGTTTGTGTGTGGCTTGTTGCATGGGGTTGTGAGATGGAGGGGAGGATAGAGAAGGATGACCATGAACAAGTTTCAGACTAGAAGGCATAGATGTCTTAGATGAATAAGTGTTGGGATGTTAGAGAATTATCCTGTAATTAGTCACATAATACCTTCTGAATTTATTCAACAGGTGTCTTCCGGAATGCTATATCAATAGTTAAACAGAGCATAAGATCAGTGTCATCTTGGCGATGAGTGCTGTTATCAAAACTATTTCCCCGCAGAAGTACAGATACAATGCAAGCTTTAGGACAGCCATTTGAAGATTTGAGGAATGTGTATAACAATTTGGGTAGACAATACAAGACAGCTACCTGACTGAAATAGCTGTATCCTTAAGCCAGATGCTTTTGAATTTGGCATGTTAATGGCTTCCACACAGGGACTTGGGATGCAGCAATGACTGAGTGCTTTGGGCAAATATGCCTTGGGCTCTTTGTCCTATTGCAGAATTCTGTGAGGAGCAGATCAGAAGCTAGTCAAAGTGAGTGGGAGCTATGGGGGCTTGAAATCAAACTGTCATCTTTCATCATGCCATCATCTCTTCCTGATTCACTAGCACTGCTCTGCTACAACCCCACAGAGCAGGGAGGACCCTGTAACACAGTTGTGGTATCCATAAGCATTGTAATCCTGCAGGTAGGTGACCCTGCCTTTGCAGGTAGGCATCTTCTTGACTACCTCTGCCCCCTAGCACCTGAGAGGGCAAGTTGGTCGTTTCTCCTTGGGGACTGAGAGGGTATTGACAAGTTGTGCTCGAGGATCTCTTGGCCTGAACTATGTTCAGGGTAGCACAGCACTGCTTCAGGGCTCATCTTAACAGGGCGGCTTCAGAAAATCAGGATGCTTTTCAGAAACTTGCACACAGTCATAATAGTAGTGCCTCTGCAGGGGACTTGTCCTCATTGATTTGAAGTGGATAGATGAACCATTAAACTCTCGTGTGAAGCATTGCTCCTGTTAGGAATGTGCAAGAGCTCTAAGGCTGGTCAGTGTTCCTGAGGCTTCCAGTAGCTCTTCACATGTGGTCCCAAGGAGACAGAGAAACTAGGTGCTATACCCCTACTCCTTTTGCTGGTTTGCTTGCAGACTTGGTCAAAGCCTGGATAGTGACTTGCAGCTTAATTGATAAAGAATAAGCAAGTTCACTGTAGTGGGATCACTCTTAACTCCCTTTTCTTAGGAAAGGTAGGGTGGCAGATCCTTTGAGGAGCTACAAGGGGTAAAACTGGTAAAACTGGCATTTGCCTTGCTTTGTTGGAGAAACAGCTTTAGTTTCTTGGTGGCTGCATTCTTTTAGTGGGACACTGGGATAGGGGGATGAATCTGAACAGCTAGTGGCACATGCCTTTGGGATGCTGCAATACTTACCTCGCGTATATGCAAGAGAACCTTACTGCAGGCCAACAGAGCAAGCTTTGGAAGCTTTTGCAGCACTGTGAATCATAAGCCATCATCTTGAGTGCAGTTGCCAGGGAAATAATAATTA